TAGCTTTATGGTCTTGAATGCATTTACCCATTGCTGCATTTACTCCCATACCACCTCTGTGATACAGAGCAATGCTATTCTCATTTTACAGATGCAGAGTTTAGTCATGCATCCTGCATGTGTTTTTTTTCCAAGACAACACAGGGGTGTCTGTAACAAAGCAGTGAGCTGAACCCTGATCTCTCAAATTCTAAACTTCAGGCCTTTAATTTCTCAGGGACCCTTTAAATAATTCCAAAATTTTCATTACTAGTGTCAGGGAAAAGGGCCATTAGATGACCAGTGTGGATCCTAGATTTATTCTCTACTATAGAGAAACCTAGACCTGTGTAGACAGCAGCCCAAGGAATGGCAGCCTTCTTTCCCACTAGATTTCCTTCCACCACCTTCCAAAAACAAAGACACAATCATTTAGCTGCCCAGATGCTTGAGAAAAGTGGGATAACTGACTCACTCCACAAGAGAAACCATAAATATAGTACTCTTTACAGCAGTCTGAGAGTAAATAGGTTTGACGGGCCAGTTGTATATTCAGGTAGTTTGATGTTATTTTCCACAAACAGAGTAACTGACTTGTAGGCATCTTGGTAAGGCAGAAGACTAAGTCAGGGGAACTAACTAACATAATTTGGGCAGCAACTTATGAGCAGCACTCTGCATTTATAAGAAGAGGTTTTTAAAGGAGCCAAATGCAATTAGATGTGGAAACCATACTCCCTTAATCTTTATTAACAATACACCCTCCACCTGTTGGTTTCACAGCATTTATAAGCTGGTCAAGTACCAGTGCCCCCATTTGATAGAGGCGGCCAAGAAGCAACATCAGACAGCAGGTTATGAGTACAACCCCAGCCTGGAGCCTGGGCACTGAGGGTCTCATTTTAGGGCACTATCCACTAGATTCCTTGACTGCTGACGTACCTGCCCTGGTGCTCCTATTTTGTGATAGCAGTGGTGGCCAGGAAGGGCCAGTCATCCTCAGTGGCTTTCCTTGCTTCATAAAGTCATTGACTGCATATACATGACTGTTTTTGTTATTAGGACCTGCATATTTGTTACCACCCATTCGCATACAGCACCAAAAACAATGATGGGTTGATGCCCTTAAAAGGGCTGTTGACTCCCACCATGTTCGAACTCACTGGAACTGCTTTCTGCCCAAAAGCCCTTTCTTAACATAATCACCAGAAGCAATCCCCTCCAAATGCAACAAATTCTGCTCTAGGAATTAGAGCCAGGCTCAAAGATTATTGAAATCACGACAGACTCTTGTTGTTTCCATTGGGTTTTAAATCAAGGCTATCCACCTTGAACTTGTCCCTGAGCTTGCAAGTGGTTTGCTGTGGGCTCCAGTGATGCGGGTGTGGACGCGATGGTCCAGGGTTGTGGGTGCAGGCCAGTAGGCTTTTCATCACACAGCTGCTTCAGTGAACACTCTTTCCTTACTTGGTAGCTTAAAGATTACTAGGAGGAATCTAAAGCTTACTAGGGGAAGAGACAACAATTATGATTGTAAGTCCTCTTACACTTATGAACTTCCGTCTTCCTCCCCTGACACTTCTCTGCATACAGAAGAAACATGGTGTTCTTCCTTCAGTGCACTGAGACCATTAGCCATGCTGCTCTTCCTGATAGCTCATCAGGTGGGGCTGAGGTACAAGGGGTTCAATGTTTTATTTATGACTGATTACATTAGCAGCTCTTTTAACAGCCTTATCTCACTGATAGCACAGCTGCATTCCAAAATGTTTTGCAGCACAGTAGATCTGAAGGAAAGTGCCCAGGCTGAGGTTTTGTTGATCCGACAGGAGAACTTGAGATTGAGAAGGCATTCAGAATGTTTTATTTGCACAGCCTTTAAAATGTACAGTGAAACTACAGCACGATCATTGAAATGACAACTGCTTACGCTGTAGCATTACTAATGATGAAAACTCTTGCAAATTCAAATGTTGCCACAAATGGATAGATACAAGAATTGCTTCCTGGCACTTCAGATGCACCCTCCTTTGGAAGCAAATGCAGTAACGTTTTTTGACAGTGCAGACTGACATTACGTAAGTGTTTTGGACAGGGCGGTTTGGGATGGCCAGAGTGACCTCCCTGTGACTTCATTTTGCTCATGTGATCGGGACCCATTCCATAACACTGTAGGGAAGCAGAAGTATAATCCTAGGAGTTTGAATTCAGTTGGGATTGAGGCATGTAGTATGTGCATCTTTCAAGGCGTCCTCATCTAAAACCTCAATAGACTGCAACAGGTATGAAACAAACAGGGTCCTGTGGATATTCAGCAGTGTTTGGTAAAAATTATGCTAAACCCCTGTGAACTAAATAAAATGAAAGTTGTACATGCTGCTCTATAGTACTTTGTTTTAGGAATATAATTTTCTATTAAAGTCCATAGACTGTTCCGGGGAAACCTATAGTGAAATGAGCATTTTCTGTTAAATTCCATGGGACTTTTCCAAAAGTGTGCATTCACTCTTTCTTCTTCGTGCTCAAATAGACTGATCCAGGCCTGGATTATAATTAGAAGTTTGGCTGAAGTCCTGTATTTAGACTTCTGGGACCAAATTGTGCTCTCTGTTCTACACGTACAGCTCACATGGATTCAGTGGGAGTTTCGTCCATGTTAATGAGAGCAGATGTTGACTTTTGAGCTCTCAAATTTCTTCCCATTGCATAACACACAAGTGGAGCAACACAGACAGCTAGACACTGGCTTGTCACTGGTTATGCCAGAAGGCATGTGGCTAAAGAGCAGGCCAAGCAGGGTACAGAACCTGAAACCACAATGCGGCTAAAACCACCACATTTCAGTTAAACTACAGTTTTATTTTATAATTGGCTCATGTTTCAATCCCCTCTTTATAGAAACAGTCGTTTCTCATGGACAAGTGCTGCTTTGTGAGAGTGGCCTGTTCAAAATATCCACTGAGAGTAAGACAGTGTTGTGCAGTGCAGTGGTGAGAGCAGAGAATTCAAGAAAGTTCAGTGCTGCTGTATTCCCACTGGCTGAGGAGCTGGCCCGTGGTTCCTACTATGGGCTCTGCCACTTGCTTTCTCTATAAAATTACTTCCCTTCCCTGTGCTTCTGTTACCTCTACATGAAACAATGATAACTCCTGCCTTTATCATAGCTGAGTATGGCAACGGGTAAAATGTCTCTCTTAAGGGCTGAATTCAATAAGGACAAGCAAGCATGTTTGTAATTTATTTTATCTGTGGCTTTGGCCTGCTCTGTCCCATAGTCATTGTGCATGACTTCTGTATTTCTAATGGACCTATGTTCTGGGGACCTAATACAAAATCTAGTGAAGAGAGTCTTTCTGTTTTCTGTGGATCCTGGATGGAGCTCTAATGTGAAAGCAGGTGAACATAGTTTCATAGTTAGTAGGGTCGGAAGGGACCTGAGCAGATCATCGAGTCCGACCCCCTGCCATGGCAGGAAAGAGTACTGGGGTCAAACGACCCCAGCAAGGTGTTCATCCAGCCTCCTCTTAAAGACCCCCAGGGTAGGAGCCAGCACCACTTCGCTTGGAGGTTGGTTCCAGATCCTAGCCGCCCTGACAGTGAAGTAGCGCCTCCTGATGTCTAGTCTGAATTTACCCTCTGCCAGCTTGTGACCGTTATTTCTAGTCACTCCTGGTAGTGCTTGGGGGAACAGGGACTCCCCCAGTGCCTGCTGGTCCCCGAGTTATAAATGAATGTTCTCCGAGTTATAAATGAACGTGTTGCCTGCTGATTAGGTGGCATGTTCTAATATCCTAGTTTTCCTAGTTTCCCACAAGTCTTATTCTCAAATATCAAGAACCACTGATTGTTGCTGAACACATAGCTCAAATACTCTAAGAGCATCATCTTCACAGGAAGTGACATCTGAGAAAGTAAACAGTTACTGTTACACTTTCAGATATGCCTTATCCATTATTTTCAATCCTTTTGAGGTATGTGAATGGAAATGAGAGGTTCAGGTCTCTTTGGCAGCTTTGAAATCTCATTTCCATGGCTGAGCAAACATGGACAAGATGAATCAGCAATCTCCTATCTGTTTCATTGCCATTGGTGAAGTACAACTGACCCAGTGGTTAACACTGAGATCATATACTGTACCTTCTTTGCTGGCCCTATACAGGACCTGGAGTTGGTACTGAGATCATAGTGTAGTTTTCATACCAACACTGGCACCAGACTGAAATAGCACTGGAATTATATTGCAACTTTAATGGTAGCACTGGGAGGGTTAGCACACAGATCATACTATTCTTTCCATATTACCACTGGGGCAGAACAATACCAGCACTGAGTTCATAATGTAGATGTCTTGCCAGGTCTAGGGTAGAACTGTACCCAGGACAACAATTGCGATCTTACTATATTTGCCATGCCAGCCCGGGGTACACCTATATCTGTGACTAGCACTGAGACCGTACTGTGATTTGAATGATTGCACAGGGCTTGCCTAAGGTTCACCCTTAACAATCCTGGGGTTGCTGTTCCTTCTGTAACTGGGGTTGGCTTCTGCAGAGGCCACTTAGGATGCTTTTCTTATAGCTTCATAGATTGTTAGGGGCTGGAAGGGATCTTGCAAGATCATTGGGTCCAGCCGCCCTGCACTAGGCAGGAAAGACGATTGGGGTCAGGTGACTCTGACCGTCAGGCACCCTATCTGTGAAGAAGTTTTTCCTAGTGTTAAGCCTGAAACGGTTGTGCTGACTTAGTGTCTGATAAAGGGAGGATGTCTGTTCTTCCTATAAGTTGCAGAAGCTGGAGCTGGAAAAACCTATCTGAGCTGGGCCCTCGCTGTTCTTACAGAATCTGAGTGGGGGTACCAGTGTGACTCAAATTCAGTAGGGGTTGCCTAGACACATACACAACTCTGGGATTGATCCAGACTCCACCAAAGTCCATGGTGATGGACCTTGCATTATGTTTTCCACTTGGAGGCCTGGTTGGACATGCAGACCTTGCCTTACTGTGTGTTTCTATTTCTCCAGAATGGCTGCAGTCTGTCCAGGCGATGATGATCCTCTCCATTATCTTCAGCGTGCTGTCCTTGTTCCTGTTCTTTTGCCAGCTGTTTACACTCACCAAGGGAGGACGGTTTTACATTACTGGAATCTTCCAGATCCTTGCCGGTAAGTGGAGAATGATAAATAGGTGGCGGCTTTGAGTATGTACAGGGAAAATGCTTTCAGAGAGAGGCATGAAGGTTGTAGCAGGAAACAAGAAAGCTCTTGAATACCAAAGAGGGCCCTGTGTGGTTATTACTTGATTACAACTGACAGGGGTTAGAACTGGGGCAGAGGGAATCAGCTCTTCTGGAAGCTGCACTGCTTGGCAATGATAATGCATCAGAAATGGCATGTACTAGGCTATGTCATCATAGGTCATAATTGAGGGGAATGGGGTGTGGATAGCCAGGGGCCTGTTCTGCCTTAGATGCACAGGGGTGTAATCCATTTGTCAGTGTGTGTGTGTCACACGTTTCACAGGGGCAGGAGTCTGTTACAGCTCTGGCTGAAGACCTCAGCTCAAACTGTAATAGTTACAGGTGCTTGGTTCAGTCCCTGATAGATGAGCTACCACACATACTGCTCACAGTTAGGCATGGTGCAGGCTCAACACCTCTAAAAATCGGCTACTGTGTATCACTACCTAGACAGCAAAAAACAGAGCAAGCCAGAGAGAGGGATACTTCAACAATTAGTTACACATACACACTTTGTGGCACATGCAGGGACAGCTGGAGGGAATTTGTTTCTGATGTGACTCCACAGACTTAAGTGTTTCTACCATAAGAATGATTTTTGGCCTAATAACTACATCTCTTGATCATTTGAGACAGGGACATCACAAGGCAGCGCTGACTAAAGGTGCTCTAAATGAGCTCAGCAGGTTGCATTATCTAGGGCAGAATGGCATGCTAATGTGACTGTTCTGCTTCCAGTGCCTGAACTAGCCCAGGTGCCTCTACACAGCACTGTGGTGTGCAGTGTTGGTGTGTCTGAATACTGACAGGTCACCAGCTATCAACAGGGCCTCAGCCTTCTCTAGACTGCAGCCTGAATGTGGTGAGGAAAAAAGCTATTGTCCATTATCCAGTGCCCATGCCAATTATTCCATTCCTGTATTGCAAAACTCAGGGCAGCAGCTGGTCTTTGTTACCCTGAATTTCCAAAAAGTCGTGAGTGTACAGTGACCACATAATCAGTGTCTCTAGCTCTGCTGGGGAGTGTCTGGTCTGGAACTAAGAAGCCCCAGGCAGAGAAGCCAGCTGGGCTCAGCTTGGCTTCCAAATAGTTGGCATGTGCACCAGAAAGAGGGACCAGTGTTTAAGCTAAAGAAGCAAATTCCTGTAGTAGTTCATCCTTGCCCTATATATAGCCCCTGAAGGCCTACCACCCAGAGGAGCCTTGAATCAGGAGCCCTTGAAGAGGAGTACACATTGTTGGTTTGGCTTTTTCCTATTTAACCTCTCAGGCAGAGCTGGTTTGAGCAGCAGAAGTTTCACTGATGTTAGATGAAACTCCTATAAACTGTCTTGGTGGTAGGTGATGAGAAGGCTGTTTCCAGATACATCGCTTATCCCTGATACTTTTTGCCTGGATGCTCCTGCCCTCAAGGGAACTTCCTGACTGGGTGACTCAGTCGGCAAAGCTAAGCGCCGTTATGTAAACTCCTCTGTTTGGGAAACCTGACTCATCAGCCCTGCTGAGGTTGGAACTAATGTGTGTGTCAAGTGCAGCAGCTCCAGGGTGTTCCTGAGCTGCTGGGTTGATTCAAATTTACATACAGCCTTTGAACTGGGGGTGGGAAGAAGCTAATTTGCACTGTGATGCAATGTCTCTCTTTAGGAATGATGGGATTGTATGCATTAGGATGGAAAAGATGTATGAGCTCAATCTAGTTTAGTAGACAGCTACAGTCATCCCTAAGAAAAGCTATGCACATGATATGAGGTGGAGAGGAATCAGCCCTCTGCCTTTTCAGTTTTCCCTCACAAGTTGATCCTTTCAGCCCCTGAATCCTTTTTCATTTCAGAAGACTATTTTGCTCTGCACTGAGCAGGAGAGTACTCTGTACATTGGGTAGTAATGTTTTAATCTCTATCAGAAACAGTGGTTTTCTAGGGGTCTTCCCATTCCATGTGTCCCAGGGCATCTTGGAAAACCCTGATATGGAAAACTGCTATGCAAGCAATCACAGCAGTAGCTCACACAAAGTTATTGGTGTTGGAAGAGGACTAAGTCAGACAGGGCACAAGGGATTGTTTGTGGGAACAGGTAAGGAAGTTTAGCTAAGTTTAGTCACGGACAGGACTTTCAGTAAGGTGAACGCTGGTGTTAGTGCTTACAGAAGTGAGCACTGGCCAGAGGCAAGTATACAGACATTTTCAATATGGCACTATGCGTTTACCAAGATCCCAGCTGGTTGCTGTTATGCAGGATTTCTGCCCAGAGCTGCAGAAGCTCACTTGTGGTGGGTTTTACTATGATTTGTGATGTGCACAAAGGGGAAGGGCTGTAGAAACCACCAGTCTGTTTTTCAGACTTTAACTCCATGAAATGGAAGGCTAGACTTCAAGTCTTCCAAGTCTGTGGTGGTCGATGGCTGCTACTTGCCATGTCACGTTACCATGAGGGTACCTTGGGCACATGGTTGTGATAACCTTGTCCCATTTTTATCTCTCTCTCAATTTAAGGATAGCAAAGCACTTTACAGAGATCAGCAAATTAAGAACTGATAGCCCTCCCTAGAAGATACGTATTACTCACAGTAATGCCTGTGTGTATGCACATGTAAATGTGTGGGTCTCCTCAGCTACAGGTCACCAGGAAACAAAACCTGGCACCCTTGACTGCTCACCGTGAGCTTTACCCTTTGAGCATATTCCCATACTCAGAATCAGTTATGCTACAGTCCTTCCTGTGTCTCCAGTGGAAACAGTCATTAGCATGTGCTCTATGCAACCACATTCCTTAAATGGACAATTGCTGCTGTATTTCAAGTTATCTGTAGGTGACTTTGGCATAGATTCAAGCCTGTTTTCTGTCTCGCCAGTGTCAAGAGACAATTGTTTTGCTTTTTCTGCATGGGCTAATGCAGTAGGAGTTCTCGTCTCTGCTCAGAAAATGGAAACTGCAGCAGCAGCTTGTTAATTAAACATATTCCCACTTCTGCACTTTATTTGAACAAAGGGACAGTGTAAAGCAAAATAGCAGCTCAAATATCACTGTGGTTAGATGTAGGTGGTCCCAAGGTCTGTCCGAGAGATTTGGAACAGAGTTAGCTCCAATGATGGCACAGTGAACATATAATAGAATTGCTGGGATCAACTAAAAAACTTTGTTTGCAGTGGGAAATAGTGGTGGCTTTGTGCAAGAGCTTTGTAATGTTGGAGGCTGATATTTTTTGGTGCAGTGCTAGAGTGGATACTGTTGATATTGGGCACATCTACACGTGCGATTAGTGCACCTGAATAAACTCTGGCACAATTTGTGCTGGAGTTCATTGCTCCCGGCCACAGCTTTTATACATGTGCCTGGGACTGAAGTATGATGAGCCAGGGCAATGCAGCCCCAAATGACAGGGGACACTGGGGGGGGGTGGTGTCAGCCTGCTAGCCTGAAGCTGCTCTGCCCTGGCTCAACATGCTGTGGAGGCTGTGGTTGGGTGCAATAGTGCAGGGCTAGCTGGCAAGCAGTCCCAGCTAGCCCTAGTCACTGTCTACGTGTGCATTGTGGTGGAGTATCTCACCCCAGAGTGGATGATCTCCACCCCAGAGTGCTGAGGGAATTAGCAGAGGTCATTGCGGGACCGCTGGCACAGCTTTACGAGTACTCATGGTGCTCTGGCGAGGTGCCAGAGGACTGGAAAAGGGCCAATGTGGTCCCCATTTTCAAAAAAGGGGAGGAAGGAGGACCCAGGAAATTATAGGCCTGTTAGTCTTACCTTGGTCCTGGGGAAGCTCTTTGAGAAAATTATCCAGGTGCACATCTGTGAGGGGCAAGCAGGGGAGTGTATGCTTAGGGGCAACCAACAAGGGTTCATTCGAGGCAGGTCCTGTCAGACCAACCCAGTGGCCTTCTACGACCAGGTTACAAAATCCTTGGACGCAGGTGTTGTGGTAGATGTCTCTCACCCCATTCTCGTTAAAAACTTAGGAGATTGTGGTGTCAATGCCTACACAGTCAGATGGGTCACCAATTGGCTGGAGGGGCGCACCCAGAGAGTGGTGGTGGATGGGTCATTTTTGACCTGGAGGGATGTGGGCAGTGGAGTCCCCGAGGGATCGGTTCTCAGGCCCGAACTGTTCAACATCAGCAGCGATTTGAATGAGGGAGTGAAAAGCACCTTGTTCGAATTCGCAGATGACACTAAGATGTGGGGAGAAGTGGGCACGCTAGAAGGGAGGGACAGGCTGCAATTGGATCTGGACAGGTTACCAGGGTGGGAGGATGAGAACAGGATGTGTTTCAACACTGACAAGCGCAGGGTACTGCATCTGGGGAGGAAGAACCAGCAGCAGACCTACAGGCTGGGGAAATCCCTTCTGGTCAACACAGAGGCAGAAAAGGATCTTGGAGTCATTATAGACTCCAAGGTAAACATGGGCCGCCAATGTGGGGACGCAGTCAGGAAGGGTAACAGCACCTTGTCATGCATCCACAGATGCATCATGAGCAGGTCTAAGGAGGTGATCCTCCCCCTCTAATGGGCACTGGTCAGGCCGCAGCTGGAGTACTGTGTCCAGTTCTGGGCACCGCACTTCAGGAGGGATGTGGACAACATGGAGAGGGTCCAGAGGAGGGCCACTCGCATGATCAGGGGGCAGCAAGGGAGGCCCTACAAGGAGAGGCTACGGGACCTGAACCTGTTCAACCTCCACAAGAGAAGGCTGAGGGGGGATCTGGTGGCCATCTATAAACTGGCCAAGGGAGACCAGCAGGCAATGGGAGAGTCCCTGTTCCCCCAAGCACTACTCAGAGTAACAAGGAACAATGGCCATAAGTTGACTGAGAGCAGATTCAGGCTGGATATCAGGAGGCACTACTTCACAGTCAGGGCGGCTAGGATCTGGAACTAACTTCCAAGGGAAGTGGTGCTCACTTTTACTCTGGGGGTCTTTAAAAGGAGGCTAGATGGACACCTTGCCAGGGTCGTTTGACCCCAGCTTCCTTTCCTGCCATGGCAGGGGTTTGGACTTGATGATCCGCTCAGATCTCTTCTGACCCTACCAACTATGAGTAAATAACTCCACCATAGGATAGTACTTGAGTACTACCCTACAGAGGAGTTAGTTAGTTTACTCCAGCCTAATAGTGCTGCTCATGTAGACAGAGATGCTATACCGTAGAGATAATTAATGAGCTCCTCAGTAAAGTGCATGCATTGATGCGCCCACTGTCTAGCAGATCCTTTCCCAGAAGTGCCGTGCAGGGGTCCCAGGCTGAGGCTTGGGGGAGCGAGGGAGTGGATACAATGCATGCAGAATAAAGAGAAGGAATAGGAATGCCTTATCATTTAAGGAATGTCCTAAGGGTGGCACTGACACTGTGGACTAAATCTTTTTTCACCCCATGTGCCTCATTGGCCCTTGTGTAGGCACTTGTGCACAGTTTGATTCCACATCCTTTGTTTCCCTGCTGAGCATCCTTAGTCGACTGTGCTCTAGCCACACAAGTGCCCAGTTACATGGTTACTGCTGAAACTTCAGTTGTAGAAAATCCATGATGGGTGTTTGATGGAGCAGGGCCCTTCCAACTTTAACTTCAGTAACCTAGTGGTTAGGAAACTTGCTTAGGGAGCAGCAGATCCAGGATTTAGGCCCCACTTGCCTACAGGGCGTATGAACCTAGTTCTGTCACTTGCAAACAAAATGCTTCAATCACCAGGCCAAGCATGAGACATTGCCCAGAGCATGTCCAGCCCTGCTCTTGAAGCAGGCACACTGGGCAGTCAGGAGGAGAAAAATATTTCAGAGGGAGGGTGGCTCAATATGATGCTTATTACCTTGGCATGGAAGGGTCCTGGGCCTTAGTTTGGCCCCTGTCCCCAGTATGGCACAGGCTGCCCCTGTTCTGGTAGATACTTTATCCCATGAAAAGTAAATGTATGTGGCAGTAGAACAACTTCAGGAGGAGGACTGGAGGGAGCTGTGTGCAATGTCCAGGCAGAACTAACTTTTCTGGCAGGCACACACCACAAATGAGCCCTGCACCCTGGGTGCCGCTCTGAACTCCTTCCTCTGTTGATTCTGATGCTCTTTTTTGGTTCCCTACTCTGTGCTCCCAGCCCAATCTCCTCCTCTCCTTCCTGCCTAATATCATAAAATCATAGAATCAGTGAGTTGGAAGGGACCTAGACAGATCATCTAGTCCAACCCCCCGCCATGGGCAGGAAGGAGCACTGGGGGTGGCAGGGGTCGTAAGACCCCAGCCAGGTGCCTATCCAGTCCTGCTCTCCTTTCTACTCTCTGGCCTACTGGCTGCTACGCTGCCTGTCCCTTTCCTGATCTGCTGTATGCAACACAGAGCCTGCCAAGTTGTTGTGGCACTTATGCTGCAGGTTGGACACCACTGACCTAGCCCATGTCTTGGTAATTGAAGCACTTCAATATGTAGGAGAGGCAGGTTCAAATCCCCTTTGGGTGAGGGAGTGTCTAGAACTCAAGCCTCTCCTTGGGCAAGTGTCCTAACCATTAGGCAACTGGGCTAAAAGACCCACCAGTCATGGTTTTTATGGTCAAAAGTTGTGGGACTTACCCAGCATTATGTGTGTACTTAGGCAATTCTGTTCCCCCTGGACACTTACACAGCTGTGGTGCAACTCAGCTGGGGAGTTCAAGGAAATCCAAGTGGCATGGACTCCAAACTGCATAAGTGCTAGAAATTGCAGTTACCTGGCAATGTAAAATTTAGTACAGCATTTGGTACTTTAAATCTGGAAAGTACTTAGCCCAACACCTTCATCTTTCCTTTTCACTTTTTAAAACAAGCTTTGGCAGATGTGTGCTTGGATTTCATAGGCAGAATGGTCCTCCGGGTCATACCTGTAGCTGTAAAATGACTGCTGGAAGTTTTGTGCCTGTACCTAACACATGGCCTGGGGCATTCATAAATGAGCCCAAGCTTCTGCTGTGTCAGAGAAATGGACGTAAGCTCTGAATGCCCCAGGGATGAGATCTGATGGTTTGTCTACACTGCAGACACAGAAGCTTTAAATTAGCTGACTCATGTCCCTATACCCATCTAGCTGCAGCACTGCAAAGCTCAGCACGAACTAATGTAACTCTGAATTCCTCACACGAGACCTGTTCGTGAAACTTGTATTTTAGCTGCTAAAACTTAGCGTATACAGTATCTTTGAATCAGTCCAAAAGGTTCTTCATCTCTCTAGCTATCATGGACCATAGATTCACATGATTTGATCATTTTTTACTCCCCAGCAGGTTTTTCCATCTGTATTCCCATACACCTAAGATTTTGTATCAGCTTTCTTTTTGTGGTGCAAGGTTTTAGGATTGTAGGAAAGTAGGGCTCAAGTCAGGATCATCCCTAACTAAACCATCCCAGCCAAGTATTTTCTGTCTAACCTGCTCTTGAAAATATCCAGGGATGGAGATTTCACGACTTCTCTAGGCAGTTTATCCCACTACTCAACTATCCTCATAGTCAGAAATGTCTTCGTAATCTCCAACCTAAATTTCCTCCGCTGCAGTTTAAGAGTTTTATTGATGCTGTTCAGCTTTGTCCTTTCAAACCTCCCTGATGAGGATGTAAAACCAGTTCTTGAAATGCACAGGCCTGTGTTCTCAGCACGACATCACTCACCCTTGTTCCATGTTTGCTTCCTCTGATCCAGGGCTATGTGTGATGAGTGGTGCAGCCATCTTCACAGTGAGATACACGGAGTGGCAGATACCCTCAGATGACATCTCCTTCGGCTTTGCCTACATCCTGGCTTGGGTGGCCTTCCCGTTGGCTGCCATCAGCGGAGTGATCTACATCATCTTAAGGAAGCGCGAATAATGAAGCTCGAGGCGAGGTGGCCGAGACAGGGGCACTCGTGACATCCATGGAGGGGATAGAGGCGGGGAAAAATAGACGAGAAAACAGAAAAAAAAATTAACCAAAAAAGAAAACCCGAGGAAACCCCCCCCCCAACAAAAAACAAAAACAAAAAAACAAAAGAAATAAACAAATGGTTACTTGTTAATTGAAGATGTATATAGTATCTATGGTTTAAAAAACCTATTTATAACACTTTTTACATATATGTACATAGTATTGTTTGCTTTTGTTGACCATGCGCTATGTTTTAAAGCCTAAAGAAAGTGCCTAAGGAACTATTACTCTAACAGTATAACAAGAGCGCAGTATTTTTCTTTCCTGTTTTTGTTTTGCCCTGAGGTGAAATGAACCCCTCTTTGAAAGCCTTCCTGTGACCCACCCCTGCCAACCCCAAGCCCAAATCTGCCCATCAAAGGAATGCCCACCCAGACTAGGTCCTCAGCTGATGTGCTCCTCCCCTGACTTGAATGGAGCAGTGCCAGTTTATACCAGCAGAGGATTCATTCCCCCCACCAAGTGCTGTGATCCTGTTAACTGAAGTGCATGTATAAATCCCAGGGGGATGTTTTCAGGAATGCCTAAAGGATTTAGGAGCAAAGGGCCAACTTTTGAACAATGCCTAAAAGACTTAGGAGCCCAGTCCCCATTGTCTTGCCCACCACACCCAGTTGGGGACTCGGGTTTCTGAATCACTTTGGTGCTTATGAAAATTTGACCCACAAGTTCGATGGAAAACCAGTGTAACTTGTGTTCCTTAACACCCGTGGCTTGTTCTGAAAACCTCCCCTTAGAATGGCATGCTTTCTTGTTTGTGGCCTTGTGTACAAAGTGAACTCCCACATACCCACTTACAACCAAAGCATCTGGGAATCGTAGCTTATGACCTTGAAATGTACTTTATCCTTGCCATGTAGATACACTAAAGATGAGAGAGAAACAAAAACAGTATATCTATGAAATAAAATACCAAATATGTGAAATGGTGCTATCTATTTACCATTCCTTATATCGCTAGCCATTTAACCTTACTCACTGGAAATTCAATTAACAGTTTTATGAGATAAACAGCAAAGATAGACATGATAAATAATTCTGTGTAATATAAATGATCTATAACTGCTTTTGTACTTAGACAAGTTGCTTTTATTATTATTTTTTAATAAAGCTTTTATAACCAAGGTTTTTTCCACCCCCCACCCCACTTCTTCCCTTCCTGGTCAGAAACAAAACTCTGGATGGAACTTGTAGGTTGTTAGCCTCCAGAGACGAGCTTCTGTAAACGTCTCTGTGTTTCAAAGGTGTGTCTGGCAATGAATTGTATTGGCAACCTACTGTAGACTCATATCGGGTGCCTTCTGATGCTAAGACTCCAGACATTATGTTGTTATTTTTCTTTCTTTTTTTTTTTTTTGGCTTTGCTTTCCTGATTTTATACCAACTGTGGGGACTAAGACGCAATGAAATAAAAGTCAGAATAACTCAATGGCTTCAGCTTATTATTTTTGTAGGCCTTGATTTTGAGTGTGTCATCTCAGTCCTTTACATGGCCTTAACACAGGCTTTGTGTACATGGCACAATGCAGAGATCCCTGATCTAGCTAATGTAACTAGAGGTAGTTAGGAGAATCTGCACATTACTGCATTGTATAGATATGCTCTTACCATGTGAGTGTTTTACTCTGGGCAATACATTCCAGGTCACATGAGTAGTCTGCAGCTGATCTAGTGTCTCTTGAGGCCTAGTCTGAGGCCTTAGCCACAAGATTATTTTTGGTGTCTTCATATTTTGAGGTAAGTATTGTTAGCCCCTTCTTGTGCCCAGGTACACAGAGTATACGGGCACTTCATTCATGCTGACTCTTTACCAGAGGCAAGGCCTGGAGTGGGGAATGGGGCCACCTTCTCCACCCCTCCCACCATGCTGCTCAGCACTGTTGAAATGGTTTGGAGAGGGATTGTATTTTAATGCTTTTATAATTTTTTGGCCATGGGATTGTTCTCTGCTAAGCTGCGCTGTCAGAGGGAGGGTGGCTCAGTGAGTTGAATACTGCCTTAGAAAAGAGTATCCAACTCCATGGGTCTGAGTCCTGAGCCCAACCTGAAGATGCCAAAACTATACACAGCTATTTTTCCATTTTATACAAAGAAAATCCAGAACCCAGGGAACCCTCCCCACCAACACACACACTTCCAGGGCAGCATCCATCTCATGAAGTGCCCCCGCTTCCTCTGGCGGATTCTCTTCCTGGCCCCACATATCTTCTCCTGATTGCCCAGTGGGTCAGCTTCAAGGAGAGGGCTGATGTATGCTCTGGGTGATGCCTAGCCTGTAGCTTGCTGGGTAGAGCACTAGAGCACCTTACTCTGGACAGAGGTTCAAATCCCCTCTGGTTAAGGGGAGCCTATAATTCAAGCCCTGTTTTCTGGGTAAGTGCCCTGAAGGGTGAATGCAGAGGGGGTGCAGTGCCATGGCTGCATCCCTCTTTTGGACTGCACCATACCTTAGGAAACTCGGGACTTCTTTTAAGTCCCCAAAGCAGGTGAGAATCCTGCTGCCCCCTTCCCCTCCATGCTCAGGTTTACATCCCCTTCTCTCCACTCCACCCATCACTGCTGCCGCTGTCTCTGGCACAGCCCAGCTGGAGCAGGCTGGAGTGACTCTGAAGCTTCCCCGTCTGGGGACAGCAGGAAAAGCAGCAGTGATGAGTGAGAGGGGGGGAAGGGGAAGTCCTTGGAAGGGATAAGACGTGACTGAGCACAGAGGGAAAGGATGGGGATCCTTACATGCTCTGAGGACTTAAAAATGTTCCTGCAGCAGTCTTCTAGCACCAGTGTGTGGAGGAGAGGGAGGAGGCTGGGACAGAGGATGCAACATCCCTGAAGCATAGGTTGCTGCTCCCACAGCCCTCTGCCAAATCCTGAATGCATCTCTGTCCAGGTGGTTGGGCTAAAAGCTCCTTGT